CCCCCAAAACCCCAAAACCCCAAAACCCCGTATATAAAATAAATTATTGAAATCATTTTACGCACATGGATAACCCAAAAGAGGCGAGGAAAAGAAATACATTACAAAACTCTATTATGATACCTCACAGTCTTGTTGCTGAGGAAAATCCCAATAGCGAAAATAGCTTACAGGAGCATTTACGTAAACACGTAAAAAAGCCAGGTACAACAAATTCAAACTACGTCCATCTTGATCCTTCATCTGACTCCAAATAAACTAAGCGCCAATAGATCCGAAGCAATGGAAGGTAATCTCACTCCCTCCTACCCCCTCAAAATCTCCTCAAATCTGCACCTCCCTTCAAAATCCCCTAAATTCCCTAAAATTCCTCTCCTCCTGATCCTTCCACAAAAATCTAATTTTTTCAAAATATAGAAACCGATAACCATAATCCGACTCTTTCTGAAAATTTTGTGAAATGTGAACAGAGCTTACTACTTACCCTTTTTAAAGGACTTAGTGAAGCACTCATTTTGGTCCTGCTGGTCCTCTACTTTTTGATATTACATAGATATATCTTAATACCTTCTCTTTGCTGTGAGTTTATTCTTCTCTTAATGATTATGATCCCACAATGAGGAGCCAATGGGCTGAAGAAGTTTTTTGAGAATATCACTGTTGTGCTTCAGTGCTCAGTTCTAGTGTTGACTATTTTATTTGATATTTATGAATGCTCACAGGAATCTGATGATAGGATCGGAATATTAGTTGGCTTCGGTAGGGTCTCTAGACTGATCTTATTCTACCTCCTAGCAAACGACTTCGAGCAAACCTTAATTGAGAAATGAATTAACGGTAGGATCAAAGGCAGAAAATCAGAAATATCTGCTATCGAGATGCACTCTAATATAGACACATTGCTGAAAGAGCTATACAAGAGGTGCAACCCAAAAGATAAGCTCATGAAAGCTGGCCTCATGAGAAGCATCTCTCTTTCCAGAAGGAATAGGAACAAACAGATGGCGAGGAACAGGCTTAATGATAACTTCTTGCAACTTGACAAAATGGAAGTTGATCCAATGGAGATTAAAGAACTGAAAATGAAGGAGGTTAATAAAAATATCGACTCTATTGATTCTAAAGACGAGAAATACTTCAGAGAAGGGTTTGATTTCATAACTATGGAGAATCAATATACACTCAAGATGGTCTTAGAATCTTCTCAAGACTTAGAATTTGATGTCTTTGATCTCCAAACTAAATCTGGTGAGAATGAAATGTACATCTTTGGAATGCATATAATGTCTAAGGATCGTTACGCTAGTGATTTTAAGATTGGTACCAGAAAGCTTCAAAACTTTTTGTATGCTCTCCAGAATAGTTATAATCCAATTGCTTATCATAACAAGACTCATGCTACTGATCTGTCTCAAACCTGTTATTATTACATGCAAACATGTAATCTGAATAATATCTGTAAGCTTTCTAAGGTTGAGCAGTTATCTATGATTTTGGCTGGATTCATGCATGATACAGACCATCCTGGGTACAATAATGTTTACATGGTGAACACCTCAGCCCCACTTGCTATAAGATATAATGACAAGGCAGTCTTGGAGAATTATCATGCTGCTATGGGGTTTAAAATCCTCAAAGGAAATAGACAATGAAACATTTTTGAAAACATTAGTAAAGAGAAATACAAAGAATTCAGGAAGTTAATCGTAGATTTTATCCTTTCCACAGATATGACCAGACATTTTCCCGATATGAGTCAGATGGGAAATAGAACCTCAGAGAACGATTTTGATGCTTCTGATAAGGACAAGAAGTTGACACTTGAATTCTTGTTCCATATGGCTGATATTAGTAATCCAACTAAGCCTTGGTCGATTTGAAAGAAATGGACTGACTTGCTTTTCATCGAATTTTTCAACCAAGGGGACAAGGAAAGAGAACTCGGCATGGAAATATCTTTCCTTATGGATAGGACAACTACAAATGTTGCAAAAGCTCAGGATGGGTTTATCAAAAACTTGATAAAACCTGCGTTTTTGATTCTTGAGAAGGTCTTACCTCACTTATCTCAAAATTTAAAATACATGGATGAAAATATAGATAAATGGGCAAAGAAAGTTGTGCAATATTCCGTCAACACCCACTCCCATATGGAAACAAGAAAATCAAAATTACATAAAGAAGAAGATGAAAAATCGGACATTAGTGAAGACTCTTTCATGCCAAATGAATTTTCTCCCGGACTTGAATCAAAGTTATATTCTGAAAAAGGGATAGGAGTAAGTTGTATTGTTGAACAGAATTATAGCTTCCTCAAAAGCCAGGTATGCTCCCTCCAATACATTCCAAGCAGTCAAGTGATCTTTTCAGCATGAATCCGTAGTTACATAAAATTACATGATTCAATCTAGTTGACTTAATATGGGGTTTTGGGGTTTTGGGGTTTTGGGGTTTTGGGGTTTTGGGG